TATAGGGACTCTGTGGTTTCATTAAGTATTAGTACAATGCCTGGAAGCATGTATACAAAGTGCAGTCCTTATTATCTCTGACATTATAACAGTTTATCTGTGATGTGTTTTAAAATTTAGTTAGGCGTACAATATGATCATGTAAGCTCTCAGGCTAGTCATAAAGAATTGTGACAGCTGCTTGGAGATGCACTGGCTTGATTTGTGGCAAGCTTATTGAACTGCTTAGTTAGGATTATAAATAATAAACTCCCCAAACATAATGAAGTAGTAAATGACAATAGAAAATCAATAATGCATGAAAACATGCCTGTAATTTACTGATATTCAAGACATTCACACACTGTGTGGTTCAAAGATTGCTTGAAAACCACTTTCAAGGACCAAGAAGTAATTGCGTATAAGATATTGTTGTGGAGGATGAAGATATTAAATAAATTTACCATCATGGCTTAATAATTACCTAGATGACTCTAACCCATGAGATGGGGAGTTAATTTAGACATGTCAGTTAATTTATTGTATAGCAGTTTAATTGTACCAATATTATTTTTCTTTAAAGAGTGACTTTGTTTATGGGAAAGGGTAAGTAAAAAAGTTCTTCAACTTTATTCTTTGTTAGTGTAAGAAATAACAAAAATTTCAAGTTATTCTGAATGAGTGGTTTGCTGAGAATTGAGGAATATCTAGCAACCACATGGTAAAATGACAAGTGACATGTTGTCTTCAAGAACGTGTTTTCATACTAGACAGGGACAGGAAGGAATATTATAAATTGATTAAAGACATACTAGAGATTAAAAAGCATAAAGATCTGTGGACTGAAATAAAATGTCCATAGATCAATACTGAGATAAAATAACCAAATTTAGAATTTTTTCACAATATAGCCAATGTCTTGCAGATTCTTCAATAATTATCCCAGGTATAGTTCTTTTGTTCTGGCTATAAAATGTCATTCTTCATCTATGGCCGTTTTTGCCTTCAAGGTCAATCAGCTTTCTTTGGCCTTTCTCTAAACACCCTCTAACCAGTTTTGTTTTATTCCATGTATCGTATTCTCTCTCTGGTGTTCATGGCTGACTTCCAACTAATCTGTTGTACTGAAGAAATCACCTGTCTGCCCAGTATGACATTCAGACCTTGTAGCTTATATAATGGAAACATTGATTGTATCCAGATAACCTGGATTAAGAAAAAAAACTTATCAAGTGCTTTTCCAAACTCTCTCTTCTCTATTCCAGACCAGACTGTTAATGGTTTGTTTGAATTCACATAAGAAATGAAAATATAGTCCAATGATCATAAACACTCTTACTGAGAATATAGATGTCTTCTACATAAGAACCTGATTTAACCTCCTGAAGCCAGGTATCAAGACACATCAGAGCCCATCTTTAACATTTCCCTACCAGTTTCTGGGAGTCCATTTCATTGTGCCTGTTACTGTTTCCAGTAGCATCGTTTATACCCAGTCACGTCACACTGCCTCTACTCCACCTGATACCACTTCTACCTGTATTTCACCTTTAATGTTATCTGTCTATTAACATCAATTAATTCCCCCTCGCATACACACACACCCTAAATGACAACCTTAAATTTATGATTTTCTCCTAACACTATCATTAGCTCTCTTAATTTCTCATACTCACACTTCTTGACAGATTGTCTAAATTCTTCTTAACTTCAGATTTCTTACTTTAACACATTCCTAAAGTCAATTTCTGGAACTCTAAATGTACATTACTTTTAGTGGTAGAAAAACTTTTCACACTACGTATTTTATGGATAGTAAACCAGATAAAAATGTATGCAATATAAATTTTCATAACAGAAGTTTAATAAATTGAAGTATTTTCCATTAAGTTTGTCCTTATTCCTCTATAAAGAAACAATGAATTATACCAACTTGCAATGCGAAAAGGCAAACTTTTTAGCCTGGTTATTTCTTCTGGAATAAGGGCACCTCCCCTCCCTGGGATTTTCCTCAGCCTTTACTTTTTCCTGTATATGTATTTATAAGGCCAAGGAAATGCATTCATCCGCAGCTGTACTCTTTCCCCACAAGAATGCTCCAGTTAACACCTATTCTAGGAAGTCCTTGCTTCAATGATTCTTGCCTTCCTGATAAATTTCTTTTCAAGTGTAAAATCACACCACTAAGAAATGAACCAAAGAGTATTTGGAGGTCACACATAGACCTTGAGTTTTCTGGTAGGGTTAAGTGGAAAGAACACAAGTTGTGTGAAGCTTCTTGTGGAAGGAGCCAGCGAATGGTTCTGAGGAAGACACTAGACCAGCAATCTCCATGCTGACACTGCAAACTGAGAAAATCTTAAGATTGATATTTTAACATTTTCATGTAAACTTTCAAGTCATTTCAATGCATTTGCAAAAGTAAAAAGAAAAAATTCTGAGTTGTCAATATGCTTGTTTTACTTCCCTTGTTTAGATGTGTGTGTTTGGATATGGAACATCAGCATTGCTTCCTAGCTATTGCACAGCCTGACAAATGTATGAGATGCTCATGGTATTCCATTTGTGTAGGAATGTTTTTTTTCTTTCTTCCACCTTTTTTCCTTTCCTTCTACCTTTTTTCTTGAATTTCTACATTTCTATTTTTTAGTCTTTCTATAAAGCAATAAAATAACCCAAAACATTATGCAGAAGATAAAATATTACACACAGAATTGAATTAAAACAGGCATAACAGAGAGCAATTTCATAAATATTGGATGCCAAATATTAAGGAATGCAGCTAACAAGCTAGGAGTAAGCATGGAACAATGATAAGGCCACAGGAAGCAATTATCAGGATTGAGAAGTATCTCTGAAAATTCTTGTGATTTTTCACTTTAAACAAAGAATGCGTATCCTGAAACAACATAGGACACAGAAAAAAATGAACCAAATTAATATACATAGAATATTTATGAGAAGGCTGTTTCAAAACTGTTTTCAAGGTTCCCTCTCAATAAATATGACTGATGAAAAAATTTTCACAATAGAAATGGACAGAGGAAAATAATTTTCGAGGTCAGGGATCTATTAATGCAGGGATTATGCTAAAGAAGCAGAAAATATAATGACTTCAATTTAGTTTTCCCAACATTACATTTTATCAGGTTTCATTTTTTCTCTTTTAGTCAGATAAATTTCTTCAATAAAAGGATTCTAAGAAATCCACACAAGCATAAAGTTAGCCATAAAAATATTTTTTCCATTTTCTCAATTGCTGCCTGACTCCTGCTTAAAGTGGGGGAGAAACAAAAACAAATGAGGTAAATTTGAGAGTTTATTTCATCGATTAGAAGAGTGAAAGGTCAGGGAATGAAAGGATTCAGTGACTATCAATTAACCAAGTGCTGGACATTGCCCCCAGAAGGAGACCAGCTAATAATAATACATCTAAACATATTGGTCTCTTTGTGCTATAATACAGATGACACATTCCATTTCATGTTTTTTGAAATGTTTTATATTTAGATGCTGTTAAATATTCACTAAATATTTTTCTTTATATACCTTGACCAGTATATTTCTTTCAAACTCCAAAATGACTCTATCTCTTTCCGTGTTTCTATACTTGTCCAGTTCTCCAGCTGATAATTATGAATTTTCTCCCCTGGTTGGGCATAGATCTTCCTCATTAGAAAGTGGACCTTTCTTTCCATTCAGGTGTAAATGGTGTGTAGCTCTGATAATGGGGGGTGGTGGTATTTCTTCATAGCCTCAGTGGGTTGGCAGTCAAAGCCCTCTGCGGAGAACACAACTGTGCTTCCACTGCTGCTGCTTCAGCAGCTCCTGTCTCTGCACATCTGCCTGTCCCTCATCTCTCCAGTGTCATTAGCCTCTTTGATGATGTAACAGTGCACAGCTCCAGCCAGCTCAGAAAAGTTCCATTTACTCACTGCTTAGTGCTCTCATCATAGGAGAAGCACTTGTTGATACGATCCCATTGTTGTTTTCTGATGGTCTCATGGATTCCAAAGTCCTAAAGACTCACATTAAAAAGCAGAAACCTGTAAGTCAAAGTTAATTATAAAAAGGGTAAACACTGTTAAGTTTTACTGAACTGTATTATTTCATAACCCTAGTATGTGTCTTCATTGTAACATACTTCAAGGCATCCTGTGATGTATAGAAGTTTCCTATGAGTGAGCTATATATTCTTTTTAGAATAAACGGAAATAATTTGAGAGGAAGATGCTTTAGAACAATTACCTCTGCTATTTATTCTAGTTATTTAAATTTATAATACACTCACGTGGATAAAATCCATAAAGATGTGAGGAAACCCAGGCAAAATAAATATCCTCGTTCCCACTTTCTCTCCACTGTGCAGCTGCTGCTCTCACAAGCCAGCACCAGCATTAATGGCTTCCTTTTCATCCTTGTAATATTTCTTCATGAGTATCGCACAAATGAGAGTGTGCATACTCACTACTTTCCACTGCATGCTGAAAGTAGCAACCCATGCACGGTCTTTGGATGCTGTTTCTTTCATATAATGGTGTAGCTGGTAAAACTTCTCATAAATTCTTAGTCACCATCTTTATGTCGAATGGTGTTGAGAAGCATTAAGCTGGATGTCATCACACAGTGAGGCCAGGAACCCCACCATGATCACAGTTGTACACATCTGTGTACGCAAAGGTGTGTATGCAGGTAAGGCCACGATAATGCTGTAATCTTGACAGATACTGGAAACTGGCCTTTCAATCATTTCATACTTTCATGACATACATAAAGGGCTCTTAATTTTAAACAGTGCTGCCTCAAAACAGAATTTCAGAGCACTAGACTTTTGAAAAACGGACTTTTGAAAAAGAGGAAGTTTATCTTGGTGTATTTTCTTTTTACTTTTCTTTCTTTTAGGTGAAAACAAATACAATTTCATGTGTTTACTAATAGCTTATAATGATTTTGAATAATTTTGTTTCCTGTGAGGTTTATTTTTTCTCATTATTTAATAACTCTTAAAAGTCGATACATTAATACTTACCTGGAAGGGGAGATACCAGGATCACGAAGGTGGTTTTCCCAGGGTGAGGCTCAATTTTGCACTCTGGGTGTGCCTATCCCGTTGGTTTCCCCAAATGTGGGAAACTAGACTGCATAATTTGTGGTAGTGAGGGACTGCCTTTGCATGCTTTCTCCTGATTGAAAAAAAAAAGTCAAGACATTTACTTGCTTCAATTAGAGGTTGAAATGTGTTTTTGTCATTTTTTCTTTTTGAATTTTCATATTGATTACGGTGATGTTATCCTTTAATATTTAATATTGCTTATTTCAGTGGAATTGACATATCAAGTGTTAACTTACCATGTTAATAACATATATTTTGGATTATCCCAAATATTTTTCTTACCCCACATTTATAAGAAAATTTACTACATTTTATTCTGCACTTGTATAAATATATTTGATGATCAATTAAGTTTTGCTTTATTTAAAATCATACTAGTATACAACCTTAGCTTTTGTCATTATGTTGCTCAATTCCTCGAAACAAATCATTTAGAAATTTTATTCCTTTCATTCTGATTTGAAAAATTAAGTTTGTTGTCTACTAAAACTTCATATTTATTTTAAAGTATTTACTTACTTTCTATTTTGTTTCTTTGACTTTAAAATATAATATGCATTATTAGCTTATTTGTCTGCTTTTGCATCATAGTTCACAGTTACATTTTTCTCAGACTATTATTATTTATATTTTTAAGTTTAAACTCCATCCCTCTATATATAGATATAGATATATAGATCTATAGATTTTTTTTCTAATTCTTATTTTACATACTTGCATTTTAGAAGATACAGCTCATTATTTCTTAATGTGATGTTATTATATTTCTGAACTAAGTACTAAATACATTGGTTCAGTCCCCCAGGAAGCAGAAGCCAATATAAAGTGGAATGTGCAGAAGATCTTTTGAGGGGTGTGCTTGGAAAAGCCTGAAGGACAACATAGACACACTTGGGGTAGCAGCTTTCAGTCCACTGTAGGGTTGAAGGAGAGCTGCATATAGGAGCCTCAGTCTGCTGGACAGGCTCGGAAGCTTGCACCTTCCCAACTACAGATGATAAATGAAGAACCCTGGTGGCTCCATTGTGAAGATAATCAAGCAGCCCTAAGGAGGCATATGGCCACTAGAGTAGGAAGACTCTTCCCAAAGCCATTTAGGGAAGCCATCAATATAGCAGAAACTCCAGCCCTGTCATCATATGATGACAGTAGCCAGAGTGAAATTTTCATGACGTCCTTGTGAGAAACTCTACATCATACTAACTAGGTAAGTTTCACTCATATTTCATACACACATGATTAATAAGTGTTTCTTTTTATATTAAACAGAAAAAATTAAGAGATAATAATAAAACAATTTGAAAACAGTATAGGAGGGGAGAAACCATAATCAACACATTGTGTATTGTTATTTGCACAGTGGTTGTTATGAGTAAAAGATACAGACATGAAACATTGTCCAGAAAATTACTGACACAAACCTCAGTGGACCAAGAGAAACAAGCTGTTCAATTATCTAAACTTTCTTGCATTTTTATATACTCTTTTATTTCTCCTTCTTTCCTTTATATCATCACTTTTATTTTTCTTTTGATGTACCTTTCCTATTCACAATATCTACTGTACATTTTGGATCTTGTATACTCTTTTAGGTATTCACATAAGTGAGACAACACGACATTTACACATGGGAGTCCAGTTTATTTCACTTACAAGTATGGTCTCCAGTTTCATCCATTTATTTGTAAAAATATCAAATTTATCTTTTTTATGGCTGAGTAGTGTTCCATTATATTTAAAAAATATTTTTAGGGATGAGGATTTAGCTTAGCTCAGTGGTACAAGCACCTTCCAGGGAAAGAGTGAGATGATGAGTTTGATTCCCAGTACAAAAAATAGTCTTTTTAAAATCCATTCCTCAGTTAAAAACTTTTTCTTGTTTTGAGCTACTATGTTTGGTATGATTCATTACAAAGTAGTAGATGAATAATAGCTGCCACCTACTTCAGCCACTGTCTGTAGCTGCTTTTGGAAGAGAGTCAAGAGCTGAAGTAGACCCTGAAGTTGCTGATAGAGAACCAGTTAGTTCCTGGGCCCTACATATGACCTACTTGAAATTTTATGCTAGAAAGGTGGCTTCTACACATCCATGGTAGTCACAGAGAGCATGGGAACCTTCCAGGCTCCAGGCAGTTAACTGCACAGTATAACACAGTGTTTCTGCTCAGACCTACCAGACTTTTTCGGTTTTGTAAAAATTGATTTCCAACTTTTCTGATAGCCTTTTAAAACATTTTTTATTCCTGTTGAAAACGTTTGAAATTTTAATTCTAAGGCTTTTTTTGTATATGAAATTCTTTTTCTTATGGTTGGTGTATGTGAAGGCTATAGATTTCTGCATGTTAATTTTATATTCTTCTCTTTTACTGATTTATATTATTTTGAATGCTTTCATGTTTTCTTTTGAATTTTTAAGTAATATAATTAGTACTTATTTACACTGTGATAGGCCTACTGACTCTTTAAGCTTCTTATATTTTTCCTTTCACATTCCACTGACTATATTTGTAGTAAAATAACAAATAATGGCATACACAAGGCTTCATGTAACTGTCCTAGACTTTCTATATCAACTTCTTGATTTTACACCAGGAAAAACAGTTCTGATAATCAGTTTCTCATGGCCATATAATATATGCTGTGCAATGTATGCTTCAAGGAATTTAACCTTTCTAAGATTCAGGGAAACATTCATAAACACTCCTGTAGAAGTATCACAATTTTGTCCATATGTTCAAAGAAATCTTCATACTTATTTAGTAAACTTAAACATTTATTTTTGCTTGTTCATAATCTGACTATGTTAAACACTTTTCCACTTTTTGAGCAACAAAATTTGAAATTCATTCTCATCAATCTATGGATTTTATGTTTCTCTTCTATTTTATTCATGAATAAAATTTCCAAAGACAATTTTGACTTCATTGTTTGATAAGTGATTAAAGTTACAATTAATTAAGAATTTGAGAAGTTACATTAAAGTGGCACTTGGATATTATATAAAAGTTTTAACCTTATAGTGGTTTTTATTTCATGAAACCATAGGGCTCCTGGACTTTTCTCCTAAGCGTTAAGGTCTGGTGAGCCAAAACATGATGTGACTGTCCTTAGCATGCATGGCATATTTCACAGATCCCTAAGGAGTTTTCATTCAGTATGATTTCATATTGGTTTGTGTGTGAAAGAATGCTTGAGTTTCACCTCTTCTGTATCCTCAAGTTAGTTGTCTAAGGTCAAATATTAGCACTCCCACTGAAATTGAAGTCATCACACCATGAAAAAAATGCAGTACACTCCTTATCACCATGAAGATTAAAAAGTGATAGATAGGTCAGTGCTTCAAAGACTCAGTTCTAGATATACACAGTTTTCCAACTTAAAAGACAAATATTGCATGTTCTTTGTGGAATAATTCCTTGCTGGACTCAGTTGTATTGACTGATTAGAAAGGGAGCCCCTGAAGGAATTGGTGTAGCACAATTAGGGTGTCTTGTGGGTCATACATCTATGACCCTGGGTATTATATCAGGTGCCCAGACTTGTGAATTCCAGCACTGATTCTCTGCTCTGCATACCATGACTTCAGGGTCTTTGGTTTCTCATTCTCTTTCACCATAATGTTTCTACCTTAGAGCTAGCTTACCACGGACTGGATCCTAGAAAACTGCAAGCCAATTAAATCTCTCCTGCTTTGTATTGTGGCTATCCAATTTGACTCCCAGTTACAGGAAAGCTAAATGATGCTTTCTTTACTTGCATTTCTCTTTAATACTTACCAGTAAAATCTTCATATTCTGTTCCAATACTCCTTGCAACTTTTCAATACATTCCCCTTATATAATGCAAGCATGACCTCATCATTCCTCTATTCATAATTTTTTGCAAATAGATCTCACCCATCTCATTAGAAGCCTATGCTTCATCTACAAGCCAGGGTGTATGTGTCCTGATTCCCAGCTTCATCTGGAGCCATGTCTTCACCCTTTCAATATGTTTTGCTATCTTCTCTTGTGCTTTTTCAAATTGTTGCCTCTCCTTGGATTCACATCACCTTTACTGAAGACACTAGTGGTTTTTGTAAATAACTCATATTCCTCCTTTCCCTTGGATCAATGGAAGCAATTATTAGGCATTTATTTCTACAAGTACCATACGAAGATGTTTGGGTAGATTACCTGTGGGCAATATTGAGTGATGCCACTTTTTTGACCAACTTATAATACCACTTTTCTATAGATGGCATTGAGGAAGAAGACAGAGTCTCCCAGAGTAATTCATAGCCCAGAAGGTGCCTGACATCTGAATCACTAAATGTCTGTGGCCCCACCTACTCCAAATAACCTGTGAAGAGGTTAAGTGTAACATGCAAAAGAAAGAAATCTTTATTGTGTTAAACCTTTGGAAAAGAAGTCTTTCTTGGAGCTAAAATGTCTTGTGTAATAAAATTTCCACCTTCCCCTGCATCGTGTATCTTAACATCACAGATTCTGAAACACTTCCTTAGAAAGCTTTTCTGATCCTCCTAGAAAAGCTCAGCGGCATAAGCCCCTGCCTTGCAAGCAGGCGGTCATGAGTTCGATCCCCGGTACCGATAAAAAGAAAAAAAAAAAAAGTCTCCTTTCTGTAGCATCTTTATATTTCCCCTGAAGCCTCACTTTCTTATAACAAAACTCTTAACATTTATCATTACAAATGTTCTACAACTCCATTACATTAGGAAGTTTATCTTTCTAGTTTTAGGTCTAGTTCAATGACATTAAATATAAACCAAAAGACTTTCAATTAACATTGAGCAGATAAGTGAAGTTATTGAGTATTTATTCAACTTTATACACATAAATTTTAGCTGAGTAACATACTTGAAATGTCTGAAAAGCAGTGTATTTTAAATTTATTCCTACAGTGGCAGACTATATTTTTAATCATTACATTAAGAACCAGACTTGTGGATTCTACATGGTACTTTCAATTTTAAATCTCATTTCAACTTTACATTACTTTTCTAATATTTTGGTTCCAGGTAAAATTACCTAGCCATGTAAGAGGTTTATAACTCAAAGGTATCTAATAAAT